ATACTTCGACAAGCAAGTGAAAGAAAAGAACTTCACACCAGGGGACCTCCTCAAAAAAACCAATCCAACAACCAGAGGACAAACAGTCGGTAAGCTCGACCAAACGTGAACAGGACCATTCATCATCAATAAAAAGGTTCCTTGGGAGCGTACCGGCAAAAGACATTCACGGGAGACAACATACCCCGAACCTAGAGCAGGTACGACCTGAAATAATTATTCACTTGAATGAAAATCTCTTGTATGAGTTCAAACCGACATAATGAAAAAGAAAAATTTTGGTCGCCACTCTTTTATTTTTTGAATTACTAACTATGCATTTAACTAGGATCCTTAACCGCACTGGCAGAGCTTGCACATCTCACCAACCGATCTAAGCGACTGGGGAACCCAAAAAATAAAGACTCCCCGCCAGGGCGAGAATCCTAAAGACTCCCCTCTGGGGGGAGCATCCTAAGGACTCCCCTCCGGGCAAGCATCCTAAAGTCTCCCATATAGAGCAAGCATCCTAAAGGCTCCCCTCCATAAGGCGAGCGACCTAAAAACTCCTAACAGAAGCGTCTAAGGAGTTTATCACTGAAACGAACAAATGACATCCAGACTGAGGAGACAAATCACAAATAGAAGAAAAGTATAAAAGTTTAAAGGGAGACCAAACCAACATTGTATATTTCCATTAAGTCTTTGTCATTACAAAAGTGGTCCTACTTTACCAAAAAAAAAAGAAAAGAAAATAAGAGAGAGAAAAACCCTTGCTACAAAAAATTTTAGGGACAAGAAGTTGAAGATACTCCATCAGCCGATTCTGTATGCTTCTAAGCAGGCTTCTTGGTCGAAGGCAATAGCTTGACAAATTCACCAGAGTTCGTGTACTTCACCTCGACCATTTCCAACCTCACAAACTTGTTGATAACAAACTCAATACTAAGCCAAATTTGGTTTGTCCCCTCCTCAGAAAGCATCTCAATCATAAGTGACAAGGCGACTTTCGCAGATAAGTTATCATTCTCCTCAAGCACAACCGAGATCCATTCAGAATCCCCCTCCAGGCTCTCCACCACATCGACAAGACGAGCATCGGCCTCGCCCGCTCGCAGCCAAGTTTTCCTCAAACGAGCCTTTGCAGCCTTCGCCTTCTTCCTTACACGGGCGGCTTTGGCTACAGTATCGAGGTACGTGCTAGAAAAATAAGGAGACAATGTCGTCCCCAACATTTGATACCCATCGACCAAGTGGCATAGCTCCAAAGGACTGGGGCTGTTCAACTTATCCTTGAAACCCACCATAGAGTGTCTGCAAGCTTCATCGCGATGGATTCCACCCTCGGACCGTGATGAAACCAGTCCCATTGCAGATTGATGAGAATGAAGCGAGAATCCCTCGAGCCAAAAGCTTTGGGTCCCTCCTGCAACGAGATCCATTCTTCGTTGTCCCCAAGGAGTGAAGCAAAGGGAGAATCTGCGCCACCCATCGACTATTTCCCCATCCTTCGCCATGACTTATCGGGAAAGGGAAATGGAGAACAACTTTCAAGCTCGACACCAGGACAAATCCCACCTCGATCGGACCTAAGGCATGTATTTGATGCCTCAAGATCGGGTCGAGACCCAGAGCATGCCTTCTCCAGAGTAATACCTTGGCTAGGACCCAGTTATTCGTCTGCTTCGGGGTCTGGAGACAGACGGCTAGCTTTCCCTCTCTTTGTCAGGTCAATGAAGTCGGACGCATCAGACCGAGAAGCCTCCTAAGTTCCAAGTGACTCTTCATCCAAAAAAGAATCAGCATTGAATCCCAAAATGAAAAGAGTTCTAGCATCGCTGCCCACTACGTTTCCTGTTGAAAGGAAATGATTCCTCTCAATTAAAGTCAACTCACTCGTTGAAACCCATTGATAACAATTGTTGTTTTCGAAGTGGAAATAAGGAAATCCAAATCTGGGGTCTTCTTCAAAAGCACTTCTCCTCATTCCTTCAACGACTTCTTCACTCTCAGCTCCTTCATAGAAGTATTGGCCGCCTTGTTAAGCCGTGTCCTGGTCTCTTCGGCATCAAACGCGGCTCACAATTCTTTGGTCATCCGACCAAACTTTTTTGGATTCAAAAACTTATTTACAATATCCTCACAAGTATACCAGACAACAAAAAGACTCTTCCCCTCCATGAATGACGTCAAACCTCGAATCTGAGGGGATATCTTTTGTCGCCTATACGGTTCATCGAACGGGCGAGTAAGAATCCCCCTGACCCTTCACTGAAGCCAAAATAAAATTATGCTTTCAATTCTTCACCTTGTTTTCTAAGTCAATCAATCAAACTTTTCTATTGGAAGTGGAATTCACGTAACCATCCGGATCGACCCTAAAAAGAACACGTGCAAAAAAGTTCATGCGACCACGAAATCTTCATCCTCCGACAGTATGCAATGAAGGGCATGACCGCCGCTATACAATTCGCCTTCAGTTGGGTCAGGATGACACCGTAGTGGATCATAATGGCCCGGAGCTCGTGATGACAGATGGGGAGGCGAAATTCCTGAACAAATTGGTTGCGGTACAGAACGAGTCATCCCCCATAATCATCAGTTGCCAGATCATTTGGTCCCGAAGCCTCAAACACAATGTCGTCATCCAAGATATATCTCCTATGGAGCCTCGAAGCCTCGTCAGAAGACAGTACGAAGCGCTCTGTCGCTAGCACTGTCCCGAACACCTGGGGCGAATACTTGGAAGCCATGGAGACAATGAACAGAAGGACAAAGGAGGAAGAAACGAAGGATGTGGAAAGGAAAAAAATGAAGTCATAAGAGGGCCTCAACCCTTTATATAGGGTCAAAAAGAAATTGAAACGTTGTTAACCGTAACTCGGGAATGCAAACTCTACGTCACGTCACAGCAAAGAAAAAATATATTTTCACATAAATAAAAAGCTTGCAATATAAGCAATAAAAACATTTATTCATTCAAATAAGAAAAAATTTACAACTGGCTCGCCCGCCGCGTGCAGCATAACCAACCCACGGCTCCATAACTCCTTATAAAGACTCGACCCCCTAACTTAAACCTATTGAAACTATCTGTCTCAGCATGGAACCGAGAGACCGAGCACACCTTCCTTACGTCCGTCAGGTCCACCCACAGGTGCATAGTCTCCATCCGGATGGTCGCAGTCTCAATCCGATGATATTTGCGTCAGCCCTAAGGTCAAGAAGTTCAACCGACAGCTTTTTGGAGAGGGCATCCAACTGCACCTTCAGCTCCTTTATGCTGCCCTCTGGCTGGGACTCAGCTTCCTTCTGAGCCTCAACTTCACAAGCAAAGAAATCCGCTATCTCGTCCATGCGATGAACCACGGAGTCGGTCGACTCCCTTCGTCGATTGTTGACGAGTTCTCCATAATTTCCCGAGAAGTTGGCACTTGACCCTCAACAACTTACGACTAGTCAGAAACGTGAATCAGGCCATCTACATGATAAATAAGAATTCAAACTAGGCGAAGAACAAAATCACTCTAAATTCAATGAGTAAGTCAGAAGACTGAGCTCCTAGTACCAAGGAGTCATTCCAGCTCAGACTAGAAAAAATATACCAGGCACAGGTGGAGGGTCGCATCTCTAATGTTGTTGATCTGAGGAGAATCAGCTGCATTCGTTTCCCTGCACGGTGCACCCTCGAAAGTTCATCGGGTCTCTCTCTTGTCCACCAAGTTCGGTCAACGTTTCAGCACGAGGAACGGCTAGACCCTTGCCTGACTTCCAACAAAACAAGGGAATGTCACCAGATGAGTTGTTACCATCATCTTCATTGGGCTCGTTCAGCGACCCCACTTGAAAGCCAACTGGTTTACTCACCTCTTCTTGGCAGGCTTACTACCCTCAAAATGTTTTCCTCGTTCACCAACCACGCCACCCTCGTGATGACGGCTTTCAACGAGAATTTGCAAAGAACAGATTTTCTCAGCCGGTAGTCCGAAAACCTTCATCAGAATGTCATCAGACGTTTCACCAGAGTAGACTTTATTAGTGTTCGCCAACAGAACGCCTTCAGCAAAAAAATGACCAAAGCTTCGGACAAGAGAGAAATACAGAAGTAAGGGTAGCAACAACCTATTTATAGGGTGATAGTGCACTGAAATCCGAGTGTGCTTATTATATATTTATTATGAATAAATGAATTTAATGTAGCATTTAGTGCAATATTTAATTTTCTTGTTTTCATCGTAGCTGTCGTTTTCAAAATGCAAGAAAATTAGAGAACAAAAAATGTATGACAGGATCATAATAGCACGAATCTCGGAGAAAATATACACAACAAATAGGAGGGGCCCACGGTCAAAATATATAGAGATCCAGCCAAACGCTAGTTACTTATTGGAATAAAAGTTAATGTCAAGTCAAGAGAGAAGCATCCCAACATTCTGATAAATCACTTCCATTAGTGGTCGAGCCAAACAACATAACAGGTCGGACGAAGAATAGTTGGGTACATGCCCAAACGAAGGAGGGCTATGTATCTAGCCAAACGAAGGATGCTTTTGCGCCAGGCCGAAAGAAATACCCACCCATCACCACACGAACAAGGGAGATAGGTTGAAGACTGAGGAAAGGTCACAGATAAGTTCGATCGACAAGTCTTCACGTTATCGACATGCTATTCGGCCCGTCATGACCGAACAAATGAGCATGTCATTATTAACATATTTACATAAATTGTACAAATGACCTTAATACCCTTGAGTTTCGGGTCTTAGATGTAATTATGTACTCTAAGTATCTCCTATATCTATAAATAGGACATCATTTCATAAAGAAAAGACTCTGGATACTCTCCTTTTTATTGTTCATTTCTTATATGTACGCTCTATTCCTTGGTTGTTATTCCCGAACATTTTAGGTTTAACAATTTGGATTCCATTCAATGTGTTTTGACACAATATATAAATTTGGTAAGACAATTCATCATGTTTAGAATGGCTCGGAAGTATAAGCATGGTTTGAGATCTCACAATATCAATCATATGGTTCGTGACATCACGCTTTTGGATGACAAAAGCTTTTGCTCCAAGCTCATTTATAGTGTTGTAGAGTGCAAAAAAAATGATCTTTACATTTTCAGAGCAGAAGTCTTTTTCATGAATTTCATGCCACCTGCCAAAGATTGAACGATCATTGAAAAGAAAATATTATTTATGATAGACAAAAAAAGGAGAGATCAAATATACTTCTCAACCAGCTTCATAAGATTTGCTAGTTCTTCAGAAGAACCTCCACCGTCAAAAAAATCATCTACCACAGTGGTTAGCACACCTCCTTTGGCCCAACATAAGCGAACACTTGACAGTTCCGAGGAGAAAAGTGTAGAAGCAGCAGAGAGATAACAGTACATATGTTTCTGCCGAGAAAATCCAAGTTGATCCAGCTTGCTCTCTTTAACCCAACTTTTTGCACAAGATTATGTCATGCAGAAACCAACAAAAGTTCAAGCTTTCTTATACAAGAATTAACAAAATACACTTACCTCTCGAGATACTGAAGCTCTTTCCTACATATCAACTGGGAGCTACTGAAAGCATCCACAGCAAGCTCCTTAAGATCATTATTATTCATACTGGCACTGATGAGAGTTTCCGCATATATCATGACTTCTTTAAAAATATTTGACCATGCAAGACAAGGTTTTCCCCCTTTTTTTACTCAGAATAGAAACAAAATAAAAACTTACACAAAGGATGTCTTGAGCATCTGCAAATTATCTAAATTGCTGCATTCAATATTCCTTTTGTGCTCAAGCCTTTCCAAACTTGCATAAAAGGGAAACCTGAGAGTATAATCAACCTGAAAGAACAGAGGAACCAGTAATTTAGAGTTCACAATCAAAAAATGTCAAAAAACAAAGAAACAATTATTTAGAATTCTTGGAATATATTAGGTGTTAAATTACAGATTGGTAGTTACTTTAAGAAATACAATCCGTTAAAAAACATAAACTATGACAGAAAATACTAGCAATTCCGTACATAAGAAAATTGTGATCTGAACAAAATTAATCCTGGATTTTTATTTGATATTCTAAATTTTACAACTAATCATCTATTATCTCATTGGTACTCACCTGTCCTTTAGGAGTAGAACTCTAAAATTTCTCAAAATGAAATCAGTTAGACATCTATAAGTTTTTTTATCATCTTCAATTAAAATTTTTATCAAAAAATTTTCATTTTGTGTAAGCTGATCTTACATGCCAAATCCATTGAGCAAGCGTGAACACAGCATGTGGGATTAAATTATAAAAGCATCATGGAAGCTTGCTATAGTTTTGGACATACAATTGAAACTTAATAGATCATTTTGGAGTTCCACAATTGGAAACCAGCTACTAATGCCCCCATCACACCTTCCCTTGCCAACCTTTCCAATTCCACATTGCCTCGTATCTCTTTGTGCCCCTGTATTAACAACTGTTGAAGTGAAACTCTATCTTGCCATGCATTACCAGAGTCAAAACTTATTTCTGAGATTAAAAACGTCATGAATCGGGTCATATGTAACCTTGTTAACCTCCTGTTTTTTTTTTTTTTTCCAGTCTAAACATTCTAAATCAGATTCACAAATCATCACAATATCCCTATAAGAACCTTAATAAATCACAGAAAACAAATGTGGGAAAGTATAAATCAGCTACCTCTTGTGAAATATCAAGTGAGTTGATGGAATTAGTATTCAATTCCTCCTTGAGAAAATAAGTCACCCAGGAATTTAATTTCTTTAGAATTGGTTCATCTCGTGAGATCTGAACCTGTGACGCCTTGTATAGCTCAATAGCAGCATTTAAATCCCCAATATAACCTTGGACTGTGTTCTTGAAATGCCTCACATCAACAAATGGAGATAAAGCATCTGTAAATGATAATGGCACTCGGAAACATTGAACTAATCCAATTTAATTTAGAATTCTTAGACATCATTAGAATGTTTGATTTCCTTAAAAATAACGAATTTTACTATTTTATGATGAGTAATCCTATTTATATATATTTAAAAATTTTAATAAATTTGGCCATGTTTTTTACTGCATAGATCTCCTTAAATTTTCTTAGAAATTACTGTCTATATGAGTAAAATTTGTAGTTTAAAAAAAAAAACTACCCTTTTATTAATTTATCATTTTGCTCTTTGTAGGTTCTAAATCAGGATAGCCATTCTATAGACATGATTTGTTATTCGAAAACTACCATAATTTTTTTGAAATTATTTAGGGTAGTTATTTATTTTTATAATTAAAATATTAAATATTGAGTTACTTTAATAAAAAAAATTTTAAATATTCTTAAAAATTTTTGGAATGCTTAAATATGATGTTTAAGTTTATTTAGTTCATTCATATCATTTTATTAAATAACTAAGCATAATTTTAATAAATACTAATATGTATATGCATGCATGTATGTAATTGCAACCTCTATAAGCCAACTCAAGCAGATGAATCGAAATTATTTCTAGTTGCCTTCATAACCTAATCATCATATATAAAATTATGCAGTTTCTAAGAAAAATGCAGCTATAATTTCTTTGGAATAACTTATTATAAAAATCTTTAATCCATAATTTATAGTTCAAAAGAAAATCAAAAAAATTTGATCAAGCTCAGATGAATCATACAAATCAACAAATAAATAAAATTTATAGGCAAAAATTAAAGTATAAATCCTTATATTAAACATAATTTTAATATAATTTGAATTTAATTTAAGAATCATTGTAGCTTCTTTCAATTGGAGAAGTTTTAATTTCTTGTGGATAGACTCTCTATGTATGATCATCTCTGTGGAACAAAGTACACACGGAATAGCTCATAAGGGATAACTTACTAGAAGAGACATCATATCCATGCATACGTAAAAGACGAAATGTCATGGCACAAGTAGCAACGTTTGAATAAATTTCCTCATCTTTTTCTAGCCAACATCTGCATAATGAGACAAGTCAGGTTTTTAAAAAAGCAAAAAAGATGTCAAAGCCTAAACACAAATAGAATTTTCTATCTGATTTTCACCTATATGCTCTGTCCAGAATTCCCCTTGTATCATGAATAAAATGCAGAGAAACTCCAAGCTTCTCAAGTTTATCAATCATGGAAAGTTGTGTATGTATGTCCAGTGGGTAGGTTGTTGGAACTATAAAGCACCAAGCTTGAATTAATATATAACACCAAGAAGTACAAATGATTTATTTTAAATTTTCTAGGTAACTAAGCACCACCTGAGCAACCAAACTTCTGCAAAATAGAACACAAGTAATTAAAGGATTTATCATCTCGAATATGGCAAAGTGCAGCAGCAGTTGTTGAAGGGGAATTAAAGAGTGAACCATTTTTTCGTTGATAACTCAAAACCTCTTGCCAATCTTGTAATCCACATAGTCCTTCAGCAACAAATGCAAGGTAAGCTTTGCTTCCAGGTGAATTTTTCTCAACCTCTCTTAAGAAAAAAAAAAATAGAAATAAACATGGTTGCTAAAATAATTAAAAAAGATTCCATAATTCAATCATGATGTAATGGTCTTGATTAAAATGAAAACCAACACCGAGGACACATAAAATAACAGACTAATTCCTACTATCGGTTACGAAACAAGCTATTATTGAGTTGTTATAATAAGCTCATCTCAAGTAAGGAATTTTATATATAAATCATACTCAATGATTTCCTAGATTTGCAAGCTATCTAACCAAAAATAGGATAGAATTCGTGTAAGCCTAAAATTTCTACCCTGTTCCTTTATTTATTGTAGATTTGGATCACTCCGTTATTTAAGACCAAGTTGCCAAAACTTGGTCCTGGATTTTCTCCTAACAATATAGTTCTGGTGATTTTGGCAATCTTCTAATTACAGTGTAAGCCTTTTTAATTATAAATTTTCAAAAAGTTTATTACATTCCATATTAATTAAGGCAAAGATTTCAACGAATTTTGCCATAATTCTGGTAGTTTCTTTTATAACCATGTTAGTTTAGCACATAGTTTTTCCTTTTTAAAATTCTTTCAAATCAATAAGTGTTGTGGCAAATTCGTTTGAAGTGTCCAAAAATGCATGTTTAAGGCAGCTCCAAGCAAACAATTCAAAGCAAGTGGGGTTGTTTACTATATGTTATAACTAAACCATGTTTCAAACATTTTCTGGAATTATTCAAAAAACTCTGTGATACGCATCATCACTAAAATCAACGAACAAACCACATGAAACGGCAACAAATAGGTGAAAGAACCATAAACAAGGGCTGCTCTTACAACAATCAAAGGAAAACAAGCAAGATACACGGCTAATTTATTTTTGAGAGCTAAATCAGCTCTCCCACACCCTAGACATCGCTAGGGACTCCACATGAAGAAAAGAAAACAGCAGTCACACAAAAACATGCATAAAGAACGCAGACCTAGGTTTTTCCCTTAATAGAATCCCCTCCCAACTCTTTAAAAATTTTCCTTCCTATTTTCTTTCCAAACTCCCCTAATTTCTCCTCCTTGTATAGGTGATTATGGCCCTAGTGGACCCCAACCTTCCCATTCCTTCTTCTGCGGCTCCCCGCGTTCGCCCAGCTCCTTTTCGCCAAGACAGGCCTGTCTGTGGGTCGGTTACGCTGCCTTCAGCCGGTCTAGGGAGGACCGGCTCCCGTATATGAGTAACATTACTCCGCTCCCACAAAGACACCTCGTCCTCAAGATGAAAGGATGGAAACTGCTTATGGATCACCTCGTAAGGCTCCCATGTTACTTCATAGTTTGGTAGCTCCTTCCATCTGACCAGTACCTCCTTTGCTCCCCCTACTCTTCGAAGCACTCCCTCGATCTTTAATGGCTCCAAAATCACCTCCAGATCTTCAATCAACGTCAGCAGAAGTGTGGGTGAGGGTGTATGATCATATTAGAACCTCAAACGATAAGCCACTTTCCTGATGTGTGTCATCACCTCATATGGCTCATAATATCGTGGTGAAAGTTTCTCTCTCCTCCTTTTGGCCAATGTCTTATGTCGCAAGGGCCTCAGCTTCAAGTAGACCATGTCCCCTGGTTCAAACTACACCTCTTATGTTCATTCGCTTTCCTCTTCATGATTTGATGAGCTCTCAGTAAATGCCCCTTAAGCTCTGCTAGTACCTTGTCCTTCTCCTCTAAGTATTGATTGACGCTAGATACTGGTGTGGTGTCATGCTCATAATGTACCCAAGTGAGATGAATCCCGCCCATACAATATCTTGAAAAGAGTGGTTTGTGATGCGGTGTGGTACGACGTGTTATACAAATATTTGGCCCATACAATCCACTTGGCCCATAGCTTCAACATATCAGAAACAAAACAATGCAGGTATGTCTCCACACCCTTGGTGACCACCTTCGTCTGTCCATCGGTCAGGGGATAATATGCAATGCTCCTCTTGAGGATTGTCCCTTGCAACTTGAATAGCTCTTTCCAGAAGTGACTGAGGAACGCCTAGCCCCTATATGAAACAATTGATTATGGTACCATGTGCAAACAGACCACTTTACGAACAAACACCGCCGCGACTGAGACGACCGTCGTGCAAAGATTCTGTAAGGGAATGAAATGTGCATACTTACTCAAGTGATCTACGACCACCATGATCGATTGTGGCAATCCATCGTCACTTCTTCCAAACCTTCCCAGGTAATGCTAATGGTTGTAGTGACCCTCCTAATGTCGTGGTTAAGTGCTTGTGCCGATTTCTCCGATCGCACGACCATAAAACTCTTGCAATAATTTGGGAATAAACTCCGACGACTTGGGTAGCACGAATCGCCCATAATGGAGCAGTTGTTGTCCTCTCAATGCATATCCTGGAAAACTTTTCGGACCTTGTAGTAACGCAGCCCTTATCTTCCTAAACTCCTCATCCCTTTCGCTTTCCTGTCTCAAGACTTCCCAATCTAAGACCAATGGGACCGATAGGGTCGTCAATCGGGGCTCCTCCACCTTTCTCGATGGTGCATCAGTAGTCTTGTTCTCCAATCTTGGTCGATATTGAATCTCAAATCATACCCTAGCATGGATAGTTATCTCTAATGGTCCTCAATCACCATTCGTTGTTCCAGCATATATTTTAAGCTCCTCTGATCTATCCTGACCAAAAAATATTGTCCAAACAGATAGGGCTGTCACTTTTGAATGACCAAGACAATTGCCAATAATTCACGTTCGTTTACTAACTTTAGCCTTGCTCTACCTATAAAAACCTGGTTGAAGTAGCCAATCAGTCGCTAATCATGCATGAGCACTGCTCCCAATCCATATCCTGACACATCTGTCTCCACTACAAACGGTTTACTGAAATCAGTAACTGTTAATACCGGTACGCTAGTCATGACCCTCTTCAGGTATTCAAATGTCTGTGTTGTTGCTTCCCCCAAATTTAAATTGTCTTTCTTCAACTTCTTTGTCAATGGCCAAGCTATCATGTCAAATCCTCTCACGAACTTCCGGTAGTAGCCTGTGAGCCCCAAAAATCCTCTTAATTCTTTCAGATTCCTTAGTACAAGCCATTCAACCATAGCCTCAATCTTGGACTAATCTATTGTTACCCCCATTCTGCTCACCACATGTCGTAGGTACTCCACCTGTACTAGTGCAAAAGAATATTTTTTTCATGTTAGCATACAACTGGTGCTCCCTCAACTTCCTCGGGACTGCCCTCAGGTGCCCAACATGTTTTGTCTCTGTATGATTGTAGATTAAAATATCATCAAAGAAAATCATGACAAATTTTTGGAGATAAGGTTGAAAAACCCTATTGATGAAGGATTGAAATGTCGTCGGGGTGTTGGTGAGACCAAACGACATCACTAAGAAATCATAATGCCCTTCATGTGTTCTGAATGTTGTCTTGTGCTCATCCGTCTGATTCATCCTGATTTGGTGGTACTCTGACTTAAGATCAATTTTTGAGAAAATGACTACCCCATAAAGCTCATTTAGTAACTCATCAAACACATGAATAGGAAACTTATCCAATATTATTTTCTTGTTTAAACCTCAGTAGTCCACGCAGAATCTCTAGCTACCATCTTTTTTCTTCACCAAAAAAACGGGACTGAAAAAAAAGACTCACACTAAACCTGATAATCACAACCTCGAGCATCTCTCAGATCAATTTATCTATCTCATCCTTCTGATTCTAGGGGTACATGTATGGTCTGACGCTGACGGGAGGAACACCTTCCTTCAATGCAATAGCGTGTCTGTGCACCCTCCAAAGAGGTAACTCATTAGGCTGCTGGAAAACATCAGTAAACTGTTGTAGAAGCTATTGGACCCCTTCCGGAAACTCTGCCAACTCTAAATCTCGAACCTCCTCGATGCTCTGCAATTCCATAATGCTCTGGAATCCCACCAAGTAACCCGGTCTTACTCCCTAAATCGACTTGACCATGATTTTGAGCGAAACATGATTTTGCATAAGCTAGCATCTCCTCTTAGCACCACCTTCTTATCCTCCACTTTGAACTCCATCGCCAAGGACTTCCAATCCACCTTCATTCCTCCCAATGTTCGCAGCCACTTCATCCCAGAATCACATTTATGCTACCCAAATCTAAAGAAAGTCTTCCACCACTTGTAGGCCATGTAGTCTCAGAGCCAAACCCTTGCAAAATCCCTGACTTTTCTCCACCTTCCCTCTCCCCATCATGACACAAAAGCTCCCCGTAGTCACCAGCTTCAACCCGAGCTTCTCCACAACCTAATTTGAGATAAAGTTATGTGTGGCCCCGTTATCCACCAACACCACAATCGATTATACCTTGATTTATCCCCTCACCATCATAATGTGATTCGGGGTAAATCCCACCACCGAATTGAGGGACACCTCTGCCACATCAAATGCAGATGCTCCTCCTCCGCTGCTTCCTCTTATGATTACTCATTTTTTGTATCCTCCTAAACTAAAAGAACCTGAAGGGCGCGCTCCTTGCAACAGTGTCATGGGGCATATTTCTCATCATAGTTGTAACACAATCATTTGACTCTTTTGTCCTGCACTTCTACATCTGTGAGGCGCTTGAAATTACCCCCGGGTGGAGGTCCTATACTCTTCTCCTTCTGTATCTCTTTCTGAAATGACACCGTCTGGGTCCTTGATGTCATTGCTATCAAAGTGCTCTTGTAGGATCCCCCGGTGTTGTCTCTTTCTCCGGTTATCTTCACCTATTTCTTATCCTCCATCATCTGAGCAAGCTCCATCATTTCCCTCAATCCACACAGTCTCAAGGGGCTGATGGCTGCTCTTATGTCGTGCTTTAGGCTTTTCAAGAAGTTCCCTTCCAGTCCTGCAGCAGAAATCCCCCTCAACCTCGCTGATAAGAGCTTGAAATTCTCTC